CTATCAGTAAGTATAGGGTCGACATGATTCAATCAACAAAGAAAAATAACCTCTCATACCTTGATGATGGCCGTGCTGAATGAAAATCTCAACCGGAGGGGTTCATAAATAATTTCAAATTCAACAAAAATCCAAAATCATCAAACTCTAAGATATTTAAATTTGAAATCAACCATCAAAACACTTAAAGCAAAATCCATCAACCCTCTGCAACAATTTGCCAAGGTGGACAAATTCGAAAACTACTTCAGCTCACAAAGAGCCAAATGCCTAGTAAAAAATTTCACTATGATTCATTCTCAAACAATCTCTTGTCATTAAGGACGTGGTACATGTCCTCTAACTGGCGGTTATGCCGCGAAATGACACCGCAGGATAAACGGTTATGACCCGAGGCCCTCTGAACCGAGTGATTTTGCCGCCAAATGGCACCATGAAATATCGGTTATGACCAGACCCAATATGTTCCGTAGTGACATTAAATCATTGAGATATGAATCAATAGGATATGATCGATAGGGAACAAAGCCCTCTTTTAGCTAAGGTGGATTCAAATTTGTCCCCTTAGACAAATATTCATCCCAGGTTTACAAGGTCTTCTTGGACGAAGCAACCCATAGCTGCCGACAAGGATCCTTCTGTCAGGTTGGGTCAACTACCTCCTCTGACTAAGTAGACCAGTGATCACGATGGCCTGGGATGACGGAACCATGGGATCTTGATTGGGTCCATCATCTATTCCCCAACCCATGGTTTAAAATTGCGCAATATGAGGCTCGCCTTGAGGACCGCCTTTGCGCAATTCCTGTAAAAAACGCCTCAATGCTTATACCTCGAGTTTTTTTTATGAGGCTTGCGCCTCAACTTGGTTGAGGCCCGCCTTGAGGCCCGTTTCGCCTCACTGGCATGAGGCTTACGCCTCACGCTATATATATTAAAACTTACATAAATCTTGAAGTAAATGCCGACATTGGACTCTATAGGAGAAGAGGAAGGGGAGAGAGTAGTTTATGATGATTCAAATGAAGAACCCCTTAGTGAGGATAGTGTTGATGACTTATGAGTTTTTATGTGACATGTCATTGCTATTTGTTTTTGGAAATTGGAAGTATATGTTAATGAAAAGAATACTGGGATGTGGGAAAGATAGAATTTTGAGTTGAACTATATTTCATGTTGTCTTATTATTGGGATATTTTGATTTCAATTCATATTTTATGCTTTTTTATGTTTTATTTTATTCACTCATTAGTATATAAAAAATTTATCATTTTATGTTTACGCAATCTTTTGATTTTGAGGCTTACACCTCAAAATGCCTTGAGGCTTACGCCTCGCCTCACGAATGAAAAACGCCTCAATACCCGAATACGCAATTTTAAACATTGCCCCAACCCTCCACTTTAAGTGTAAGATGGTGAAATTTTCAATTTTAAATATCAAATCTTCCAATTTTTCAAATTTCCAAATCAAAGCCCAATGCGCTACTATATGCCAGATAACATGTACTCTATATGTATCTGATTGACAATTAGTCTTAATCTAAAGTTCTCTCTCATTATCGGGAGGGGTAATTAACTATAGGGGCTTGTGCCTACAGGAAACCAGAACTCAGATCATAAAGTCCTCGCAAAATGAGGGCGAAATCTCTGGGTAGTGTCTAATCTACAAACTCATTTGCTTTCCAAAATTTACCCCAGAACTTAATTCTGTTAAAACTCCCTCTGAAAAAGAAAAAGCAACCATCGGGCGGAGGCCGGGGCCGAATTTTTGGAGCCCACACTTAAGTAGTGGTTGGTATCCTTAGTTTCTATTTTAGAATTGTAAAAATAAGAGAAGAAATTTTGAATCTTATTTCAATCTAGAGAATGTACATATTTATAAGTATTACACAATCAATTACGAGTATAAAAATTATGGAACAAATTAATATAATTAATGATATTTAAAAAAAGAAATATTTGTATGAATGCTAATTGTTGAGGTGGACCATTGTCATAAGGTTAATATAATTAGCGCACAGATTATTTAGATGGACAATTATCATGCAGTTAATAATCACAATACTCTTCATGTTGGAGCATGGATGTCACATAAGCACCTGATTGATACTCCTTTTGTAAAATTTTCTGCTAATTGATCCTTTGATCGAATCTTTGGTAATTCCATAATCTTCCATTCTAATTTCTCTTTAATGAAGAATCTATCTGCTTTAATGCACTTTTTACGATCATATTGAATTGGCTTATGAGTTATGTCACATGCTACTTAATTGTCGCATCATAATTATATTGGATGCTTTCGGGAATTTCTTAGGCCTATATGACAAATTTTAACCACATTTCCTTGCAATTCATAAGGTCGTTCCTATATTCAGCTGCTGCACTAAATCTTGCAGTAATATTCAGTTTCTTGCTTCTCCATGTGACTATGTTCCTACCTATAAAGATAAAGTATTCTAAAGTTGACTATCTGTTGTGAATTGCTCCAGCCCAATTAATATATGTATATATTTCTATATCTTGCTTGTTTGTAGTTTTAGAGAATATAATTATATTTTCTTGGATAGATTTTAGATACCTCAAAATGTATTTGACTGAATTCGTATGTTGTTCATTGAGATTATGCATGAGCTAACTGACAATACTCTGATCATAGGAAAGATCTGGTCTTGTGTGAGCGAAGTGCATTAGTCATTTGATAAATCTCTTGTATCTCACGTTATCTATTGGTACCTGGATTGTTTCAGTACAAAGCTTCGATTCCTCTTTCATTTAAATGCCAAGTTAGCAAACTGGAATACCAGTTTCAGATTTAAGGTATAATTCCTTTGTGATGAGAAGAATCTTTTACTTGATTAAGATACTTAAATTCTAGGAATAGCAAGATCCAGATTGTGTTAATTTTGGCTAAGAATAGCGAGATCCAGATTGTGTTAATTTTGGCTACAGTGGCGAATGTTTTATTATAGTTAATTTCATAAATTCGGGTATATTGTTTTGCCACTAGTGTTGCCTTAAACTGTTAGACATGCTATCAACTTTGCATTTAACAAAAAGATGCATCGACATCTGCTGTTTTTACACATATTAGATGGTTACGAGTTCCCAAGTTTTGTTCTTATGTAGGCAGTCAATCTCTTCATTCATCTCAGCTTATTTCACTCTATTGAGACATTGTGGTAACTATCACCTGGATGACTCAGGTACTATGTAAGTACTTTCTTTAGGCAATGAATTTTTCTGGCTTTATGGGTGGGCATTTAGATCACTAGATTCGAACTCATCCATATCTCAACTTGTTGTGTTGTGTATTATCTGACCTCTTAAATCCAAAATTTTCATACTAGATCTAAATTGCCTCCTCAATATTGTATACAAAAGTCCTAAATTTCTTTAAAGCACTTTCCCTAAAATTCAGACATAAAGAAATATTTAGCGTCTTTATGAAAAACAACATCAATTGTGATAAACATGCATTTACTAGGGTGATGATATCATGTGTACTCTTTTTAATGAACACTATATTTGACAAAGACATATTTCAAAGCTCTAAGTCAGTAACTATCGATGTTGGTGTTTGGGAATACGAACATAGGCAACACCTCTGAAGACCTAAGGTGTTAGATTTGAGACTGCTGAAGCAATAATAGCTTCTGCAAGTGTTTGAAAGGGCGTGAAATGACGGATGTGGTCAATGGTCTTTGGCGATCAAATATAGTGTGAGGGACTGAGAGAGGTTGACATGCGAGACTGAATGAATTTGAGCGGAATAGAGATTTCGAGACTTCATTTTTGAACAATGGTTTTGAGAATCTCAGTTTGAGATTTTTTATAAATGGTAAGAAAATTTTGTTTTGGCTCTGGCTCTAATACCATATTAAGATAATTCTAGAAACTTTTAATCTTGTTTCAAACTATAGAGAATATGTACATATTTATATGTAGCACATAGTCAATTATGAGTACAACAATTAATAAACGAATTAATACACAATTACTCGTAATAAAAAAGGAAACAAGGACATGAAAGCTGGTTGCTGAGCTGCGTAATCATCTTGCAGTTAACATTATTAGAGCATATGGATTGCTGAGTTGAATAATCATTATGTGATGCATAATCTCAATAGGAATATATAAACTAGATGCTATTGCATTTTTCACATGCTTCCAGGGTAGCTTGCATCCTATATTGCACTGATACACCTAAGGTGTGTTGTATCTGATACACCGATACAAGGATACGCCTCCGATACGGCACCGATACGTATTGGATACAGCTTTGCTGTATCCAATTAAAATATTATTTAATTTCAAAAGGACACGCGTATCCGTTGAAAAACAAAAAAAAATCCGAAAAAGACACGTTGTATTTACTTCCACGGCTGCGACGAGGTTCTATAATTTCTGAGATGGATTTGAGTTTCTTGATGATATGGAAATGTTAGAAATTGCTAAACTTTCACTTGATGAGTCTGAATTAGAAGATATGATACTTATTGAAGATGATATAGAAGTTCTAACCACTGAAGAAGCTAATCATATCATTCCTTCTATTGGATATTTGAAACTTCATGTGCTAGACAATTTATGTTTATGCTTTTGTTGTTGTACTAGACATTTAGTGCTTACTTTTATTTTGATATTATAAGCTACAAGGCTACAAATGATGTTATTTTCATTTTTTTTTTTTTATAATTTCAAATATTATGCTTTGATTGTTTTCTTAATTTTATGTATGATTTATAAATTATAATGTTGTGTCCGCGTACCCGTATCATGTATTTTTAAGAATTGACGTGTCCCGTATCCGTATCGTTTCGTATTCATGCTGCCGTATTCATATCGGTGCAACATAGCTTGTATCCCTTCAGCCCCTTGAGCTACTCATGTACATTTTACTGAAATTTGGGGAATCTTTTAATTCCTGATTATACAAATAATATAATCTCATAATTAATTAATCTATCCTTCCTTTCCTTTTCCCCCTATCGTTTGCAGTTGCAGCAACAGTTAAGCGCTGTGTATTCTCAAGAAGATAGAAAAGAAGAATTGCAAGAGACCTAATCTCCCTGTACAGTAAGGTGTTCTGTAAACTCTTCAAGTTGAAAGTAATAATAAGCTCAAGTCCAGCCAGAAATCTTCCCATCTTCTCAGAGCATTTTCTTGTAGAAAGAGGCACATTCAACAATTTTTCGTTTCTTTTAAGCGCTAATCAACAGATACGGGGGCATTTTGTTTGCAAAATTTGAAGATCAGACGATGATCTCGCAGAATAATTTTGCCCAGAAGCTGTAGGAATGTTGATTTCCTGATGGCTGCAAGTCTCCTTTGTTGAAGATAAGCTTGGTTTTGTTTTCCAGTGCTAAGTGAGATAATCTTATAATTATATAAACAAACTTCAAACCCCTATGATGTATATTCCATTTGTATACATTGTAATTCATTTACGTTATATTTCATGTTAATGATTGATACAGATATAAGTTCATTGGCTTCTCTCATGGAGGACTACCATAGATTCGTGGCAAAAGATTTAGGCTTTGTTTGGGATAATTTTCTTATTGCTTCTTAAAACAGTTTTTTAGTATATAAATTTAATTTTTGTTCTAAAAAGATGCTTTAATAAGCAATAAGAATGCCGTCTCAAATGAAGCCTTACATAGATTTGGTCATGCCAAATATCTACTTTCAATGTTTCTACACTTACATCATAATAAACTTATCAACTCTAGTTGAACAGTTCGGTCTTCGTATGTAATAATTTTTTATGCTTAAAGCTATAAGATTTTGGCTTTGTTTTGGAAGATTAGTTTTTGCTTTGCTTTTTATATTATAATTATAACTTTTATTTCATTATTATTTTTTGATTGTTTTTAAAAAAAAATTTGTACTAGATAACTACTTTTATAATAGCTTTAATTTTTTTTTTATACAGCAATTTTATAAAACAACAAAAAAGTCATCCCAAATAAAATCTTTATATTGTATTGTGTAAGGATTGCTTTTGTTTGGGAATTTGCGTGAATATAATTGTAAATGCACTCGCATGTATTAGGCCTTGCACTTAAGAATTTTTTGTTGAAGTAAAAGCTTTTAGGAGCCTATTAAAAATCATGTATTTAATGGGACTCTAGAATAATTTTAGTGCATATTTTGTATTAAAAATTCATTCCATTAGAAAATTTTTGATGATTTAGGCTTCATTTGGGAAGGTTTTTTTATTGCTTTTTAAAACGGAGTTTTAGTACAAATCTTTTTATTTTTGCATTAAAACTCTATTTTAGAAAACAATAAAAAAATTGTCCCAAACGAATGCACAATAAAGCAACTCATAACAAAAATTATTGCATTAATTATGATAATTTTATTACAGCTTAAGATTATAAGTATACTCATATATGCTTTTTCAGGTATTTGTTAGGTAGTCAGTGGGTTATTGTAGCTGAACTTGTATCAGGTGGATGTTGCCATGAAAATTTACCCACGATTCATTAAGCCCTCCACATAAAATTTTGAGGGACTGCCTATCTCATGAAAAGCAAAGGATTTACTCAGATCACTCAAGTGAGTCAATGGACACCTTCTCAAGGCATATTCACATATGTTTTTTTAGGCATATTCACTTGCATCTTAGGCACTTATATCTCAAGTGCGGTGCCCACAAAATGAACTAATTCTGTAGAGCTAAATGATTTCCTCCGCTGCGATGCTTGCTAATGTGGATAGTAATTTTATTTTAATCATTAATCATTTCAAATTTTGGTTATTTTACTATCTTAGTTCAAACAAATCTTTTTAGTCACATCATCCATCATAGTTGGCCTTAATAAATTTCGTTCTCCTACTTCTGTCCAAGATAAAGAAAGGTGTCCTACAATTCTTACCATATATAGAGCTTCGTAAGAAATCATACGAGTACTAGACTTGAAGGTTTTATTATAAGCAAACTCAATCAAAGAAATGTGATCTTCCCAACTTTCATCAAAATCCAGAACATAAAGTCTCAAAAGATTTTCTAGTACCTATTTCAAAGTGACCATCAATCTTTAAATGAAATGCAATGCTGACGTACAATTTCGTTCCCAATTTTCTATGAAAAATTCTCTAGAGGTTAAAAGTGAATTTACCATCATTGTTAGAAATGATCACCATAGGTATCTTATAAAGTATGATAATCTCACACGCATACACATGTATTAACCTTTCTATAGAGTGTGCTAACTTTCTATAGAGTCTATTTGTCAAAACAAAAGAAAATGAGTAGACTTCATTAAAAGGTGCATGATGAACCAAATGACATCATTTCTTTGCCTCGATTTGAGAAAACCCATAGTGAAATTCTTAGCCACTTCGTCTTACTTCAATTTAGGAATGGGCACAAATGTTGCAGTCATTCTTATTTTATCTATCAAACAAAAATGAAGTTTGTGATTAATGTTTATTAAAATTTAACTTGATTGAGTGTTTATTGTCATATTCATTGATTTTTTTTAACAAGTCCATGTTTTTAATTGGAAGAATTTTTATTAGGATATAATAACTACTTATAATGCATTTTAAAGATCTTGGATTTGTTTTAAGATGAGTGGAACATTAATGATTCATATATTGAACTTATTTTAAAGCTTTTTCAAATTTTAATTAATTTGTTTTTATTAAAATATCTTTATTTTTCTTTTCTTTTTCAATCTTATCTTCATACTCCATCACAAGTTCTACCTTCTTTCATCCTTCCATGATCTTTTTTATCTTTGTGGTAGCATGTGATTATTCTGTGTTGCATTTTGCTATTGATGTAAGTGTTGAGAATCTTGGACAGAGCCAACAGGAAGGAGAAAGATGCAAAGAGGAAGAAGAGATCAGGAAATGTATTCACTTAATGTCTAGCTATTACATCGGTGTCAATATATAGATAAATGTAGATGAAATAAAATAAAAATGGACAGAATAGTAATGATGACGTGGTCGATTCTTTAATAGCCCCTCTCAAATTAATCATTCTGGGATCGAATGGTTAATTTGGATCTTAGATTGGTGAACCGATTTATGGGAATAGATTTCGTTAGGATTTCAGTGACTTGATCGGTGGAGGAGAGATGAGCGATGTCAATTGTGCCCTGTTGGATGTGTCCACTAATAAAGTGATAGTCGATCTCAATATGTTTTGTGCGGGCGTGGAAGATAAGGTTGTTGGAGAGCGCAATGGCGGATGTATTGTCGCAATAAATTATTGTTGGGAGATTTTGTGTAATGACGATCATTTGTTTCTTGACTAACCATGAGATGAGGTTGTGGCCTAGAAAGGTACAAAATCAGAATATGGATTTTCGGTCTGTTGTATATGTTGCCCAGTTGGCGTCGACGTAGTTGCGGAGCTGTAACTCACCGATTGTTAAAGTGAGGCAGAAGTCTAGCATGCATTTGAGGTACCGCTGAAAACGCTTGAGTGCTTGAAAATCACAGTTTGCGGGGATGATGCATTTGTTGACATATTGAGTTAATGGAGAATGCGATGTCCGGTCGAGTAATAGATAAGTACTGTAGAGATCCGACGAGTTTGCGGAAGAGTTTGGGATCAGAATATGGGTGAACGTCCATTTGTTTATTTTGCTTGGTGGGCGCCAGTGTGTTGGACAGTTTGCAGTTAGTGAAGCCTGCATGAGAAAGTAATTCCATTGCATAGTGGGACTGATTTAAAAAATAACCAGATTTTGTTTTGATCACCTGAATGCCGAGGAACAGTGATACGTCGCCGAACTGCTTGAGGCTGAATTTGAAGTTGAGTTGTTGTAGCGTGGACTATATTTTTGTGGGATTATTTTCTGTAATGAGAATGTCGTCAACGTGTATAAGAATGTACATGAGCGTATCAGCTTGGTTAAAAAGAAGAAGGGAAGGATCAACCTTGCTGAAATCAAAGCCGAGCGTTCGGAGAAATGTTGTGAATTTATGGAACCATTGTCGTGGGGATTACTTGAGACCGTAAATTGATTTGTGGAGTTTGTACACGAAGTGCGGATGTTGGTTGTTTTCGAATCTGTGAGGCTGTTTCATGTAGACTTCGTTGTGCAGGTCACCGTGAAGAAAGACGTTTGAGACGTCGAGTTGATTGACCGGCCAGTTGTGATGGAGGGCAACGGTGTGAAGCATACGAATTGTAACCATTTTGGCTGCTGGACTAAAAGTTTCGGTGAATTTAACACCGAATTCCTGAGAGCAGCCTTGGGCGACAAGGCGAGCCTTGTAACGAGCGACCTCACCGGTTGGGTGTAGCTTTGTCTTGAATGTCCATTTACTGCCGAGGATGGGTTTGTCGAGCGAAGCAGGAATAAGAGACCATGTTCCTTGTTTTTGTAAGGCGAGATATTCGTTGGATATGGCCATGCGCTAGTGATCGTGTTTTGAAGCTTCAGCATAGCAAGTGGGAGTAGTATGTGTAGAAGAGGTAACGGAAAGATCGAAGATGGGTTTGGGTTTGGATATGCCCGATCAAAGGCGAGTTTGCATGGGATGGCAAGGATGAGGTTGAGTAAAGGATTTGTTGGAGATATCGGAGACGGGAGGGCTGATGTTAGGAGTGGGGTTGGTAGAGGAAGTGGTCGGAGTTATGTTGTGCTAGACAAGAGTGGGTATGGTGGCTTGAGGGATGGCAGACATGGGCACTAGCAAAAGGGGTGAGCAGGATGGTATTTGACTGCTAGTAGAAATGTGCTAAGTTTTTATGTGATAAGGAAAAACATGTTCATAAAACACCACATGCCTTGAGATGTACATACGATTGTTGTGTATGTTGAGGCAGCGATACCCTTTGTGCTGAGATGAGTAACCTAAAAGACGCATTCCAATAATCAACGAGACAGTTTATCCTGGGCGTATGGTTTTGTCCACGGGAAGCATAGACAGTCGAGAATACGAAGGTGTTTGTAGGAGGCTTGAGTACTGTGAAGACAAAAATACGATGTGAAGTTGTGTATGGCAGAGGATGACAACCTGTTAATGAGATAATTGGCAGTGGAGAGAGTTTCGGACCAGAGAGAATTGGGAAGATGAGCAGCATGAAGTAAAGTGCGTGTGAGTTCGAGAAGGTGACGATGTTTCTGCTCGGCGGAGCCGTTTTGTTCTGGTGTATGCAGGCAGCTGGTTTGATGGGTTATGTCGTGCTGAATGAGATAGTTAGAAAAAACATTGCTATTAAATTTGCCGCCGTCGTCTAAATGAAATGTCTGAATTTTCGCATGGAACTTATTCTTGGTGAGATTATGAAAGTGCTGAAATTTAGTGAGAACTTATTTTTTAGAATGCAACAAATATAACCACATGAAGCGGGTACAATCATCTATGAATATAACGTAGTATCTAAAACTAGTCTTGGAAGGTAGGGGTGCCAGACCCCAAATGTCCGAATGGACGAGTTCAAAAGGCTTATTACAAACAGAGTCGCTGGTACAAAAAGGTTGTTTATGATTTTTTGAAACATTACATGAGATGCAGAGATCGGTGGAGTGGGTAGTAATATCAGGAATTAACTTGGCTAGGTGTTGTATTGTGCGAGCATTGGGGTGATCGAGTCTTGCATGCCAAAGGGCATTGAAGGATCTTGCGGTCGTGAGGGCTATGTGACTACTGTTGATATGAGCCTTGATTTGATATTGACCATTGTGTTTGGGACCGTGGAGAAGAAGTCGATTGTCCTGAAGATCCTTTATAGTAAAATTGTTAATGTTAAAAGAAATTGAAATGTTGTTGTCAGAAGAAAGTTTGGAAATAGATAGGAGATTATGTGAGAGAGAGGGGACATGTAAGATATTAAGGAGACGAAGCTTACGATGTGACTCTGGTTAAGGGCAAGAGGCCTTGGCCCGAGTGCTAAATTGGAAGAATGCTTCCATTCGTGATCGAGACGGAGTTGAGACCATAGTTGGGTGTTGGGTGTTGAAGGTTCGTAACATCGGACGTTAACTGTGACGAAGCGCCGAAGTCAAATATCCAGTCATTGATGGACGCCTGCTACTGCTAAACCATGAGGCTCTTGAATTGGAAGCTGGAGCATAGTTGAGGTTACAACGGTGACAGCAGTTCAAAGTTGAATGCCCCATTTTGTCGCATATTTGACATGTTGGTCTAGCTGAAGAAGTTCTTGCAGAGCCTTGGGGATCGGTGGGTGCCTGAGATCTTTGGTTGGAGCCGCGTCCACGAAACCTGGTAGACTTACCGCGATAGTTGGAATTGCTGTTGGATAGACGAGCCATCGTCTCCATTGAGTTGCTACTGTTGTAGATTTATTTCTTCTCTACAAAGTAAGGAGTATAAGTCGTCGAGATTAATCGATTGGAGGGACGTTCTTATGGCAATCTTAAAGGGGTTGTAGACAGTGGGCAGCCTGTTTAAAATGTAGAGGATGATATCCTCGGTGTCAACGCTGGAGCCAGCTGCAGCGATGTTGTCTACAATAGTCTTGATTTGATCAAGATATTGCTGCCTCGTGCGATCTTTCATTTGAATTTGATGGAGCTCGTTCTTGAGATGTATAACACAAGAACAATTTGTAGGTTGGAGACGGCGCTCAAGTGCAGTCCAGACGTCATGGGCAGTGTTGAGGGTGAGAACGTAGGGAAGAATCAAGGGTGAAATTGTAGAGAGTAGAGTAGAAACGAGATTTCGGTCCGTGAGTTTCCAACGGGTATGAGCAGCAATGTCAGATTGAGACGGGCAGATCGCAAGACCAGTGAGATGATCGTCGTATCCGTTTGCGGAGAAGTGTTGATAGAGTTGTAACCTCTAGATAGCGTAATTCTCGATTGTGAGTTGAGTCGGCACGAGATTCTTGATGTTAGAGATGAGAAACTTGAGATGGGGGGATAGTAATTTCGGTTTCTTGATTGAGGATGCTTGACGTCGTCCGGTGAGAGCCGGCTGAGTGTTCTTCGGCCATGAGAATGGGAAGAAAGCTTGAGGGATTAGGGAAGGGTTGTGAAGCAGGTGTGCTCTGATACCATGTTGAAATCTTAGACAGAGCCAACATAAAGGAGAAAGACACAGAGAGGAAGAAGAGAGCAGGAAATGTATTCACTTAATGTCTAGCTATTACAACCGGTGTCAATATATAGATAACTGTAGATGAAATAGAACAAGAAAGGACAGAACAGTAATGCTGACGTGGCCAGTTCTTTAATAGTAAGATGATAATCTAAAGCAGTTTTTCATTATCAATCTTTGATTAATTAATTCATGCCTCAATTGAAAGATCATGGGCCTGTTAATTTGTTGAAAACGATCAATAATATATTAGTTATTTTTTAGTACAGGATGCTCACAAAGATTTTGGTGGAACCCAAATTGAGAATCCAACATATCACTACAATATTGTTTCTTATCCAAGAACTGAGAAGGATTGGATCTGTACTTGTTGGTTTGTGAACAGATCTGCCGATGAACCCTATCTTTTTTCCATTGACAAAGCAATTGTCATTACTGAACTCCATTAATTGATGAGAGGAAAGAAGAAAGGGATACCTTATTGCAATTGACAAGAGATAGCTAGCTAAGATACGCATAATCTTAAAGATTTTTTTTTTTTTTTTTTTTTTTTTACGAGGAACTGGATTCTCAGTCGACCTAGCAGGCTACCCATATTAATTAGCCCGGGCTGACACTAAAAACTTTTGCTCTCACCCATGAGAATCAAACCCGAGACCTGAGCTTTGCCCAGCGAATTTTCTCCCACACGAGCTAAGCAACGGTGGTAGAACTAGATAAAATAAATAAAGTAAAAGTTTTCCTGATGTGGCTGCTAGGAGGGATGTGTACACAGCCATAACTAGTTTCCTTCTGAAGGTGGGAAAACACAACCGCGACGACGTGCATGCAGCAGGAGTAGCAGTGGCGTCATGTGCATGCAGACTTCACAGGCAGTGCTGATGTGACGTGCAAGCAACAGGCAAAACCACCATTTCGTGTAGGATTCTCTTTCGCTTTTTGACCCCGATCAATGATGGCATGAATTAGAAAAACAAAATTAGAAAAACAAAGGGCGAGAAATTATTTTGTGCGGAGTTCAAACTGTATATATGTACATATTGCATATAATGTATGTCAAATTTTTATTTATATTGTGCATACATAATGTATACACTCACTGTCTAGACGGTTCTTCTCATATAGACTCCACACAGAATAATTCTTAAGAAAAAGATTGGCAAATTTATCAATTGTGTATGTGAATTGGACCGCGACATTGAAAATATTGGGCAACTGACTCTTTTTTAGGGCGAACAAATTTATCGGGTCTTATACAATTGATAATAAGAATTATATTTAATTTTACAATATTCATGCTATCAAATAAAAATTAGGATGAGAGAGGAAAATTAGGAGGAGATGGTAAAGATATGTTACTTATTTTATTCCTCTCACTAAAAAAAAAAAATTTCTTGAGAAATCCTTCTTTGAGATATATATATATATATATGATGACAATTATATTATAAACTTTCCACCTCAAGTTAATAACAGTACTGCTAATATCAAGTAAGAAATAATATACATTAAGATGGGCTTTAAAATTCATGAATCTGTCATGAGATTAGTGCAATTCATAAATAATAAGCATTGCACTCATCATGCAAATCTAATTATTTTTAAACCTAGGCTTCATTTGTGATAAATTTTTTGCTGATTTCTAATACTATTTTTTAATACAAAAATTTAATGAATTAAAATTTTTGTATTAAAAGATTATTTTAGAAAGTAACAAAAAAACTGTACCAAACAAAACCTTAGATTTTGTTTGAGACAGCTTTCTTTCTGCTTAATAAATTAAATTTTTAGTACAAACAAATTTAATTTAAAAAATTGTACGATAAAGCTATTTTATAGAGCAATAAGAAATTGTCTCAAACAAAACCTTATTTTAACAAAAAAAAAATTATCAGAATCTTTGAACACAACTTTTGCTTTATCAAATTAATAAACATTTGTTACAGCCAAAATACACACAATGAAACAATTTAATTCTTTAAAAGCATTACAGAAATACCTCCCAAAACATTTTTTTTTTACAACATAATAAATAAGAAACCATAACTTAGAAGAAGGGAGATCTCTTGGCTTCTGCACAAGCAACTTCTAAATCACCAATGAAAAAAAGTATCTTATCAGATATCTCAGAGCAGCTCTCTTCTTCTTTTAATTTCTTTCCGTCCCATCGGCCTAAATGCCGCTGGATCTCTCCCTGATGAATCAAATAACAGTCTTCTCCTTCTGTGATTATCTTCAATCCCCTGAGATCAAAATTCTTGGTTTCTGAAGTTGAAAATCGCGTTATGAAAAGAGAAGGAAAAATCTGCAAACAGCTTAGCGCTATGAGGGGGGACTCATTTGGTTGCTTAAAGTTGGAAATTATGTCTTGAAAAATTATTAGGCTTCGTTTGGACAGCTTTCTTTCTACTAAATAGCAGCCATAATTTCTGTGGCCATCATTTTTTTTCACTGTTTTTAAAATAATTTTGTACTAGAAAGCTGTTTTTTACAATAGCTTTAAAAAGCTACTTTCTCTATATTAGCTTTACGAAAGAAAATTGTCCGAAACGAAATCTTTGTTTATAAATGTCGTCATTTGGTTGAATTTAATTTAAAATAAAAAAATCATATTAAGTCTTCAAATGAATTTAAAATTTCTGAAAAAATAAGAAAATTTCATACTACAAAAAAAAGAAAGAGACAAAACAAGATCAGTCCTTTATGTAATTGATTTTAGTCAAGAAGCAACCAATGAGCTCTAATAGAAAAGTTTTAAATAGAAAAAGAGAAGTTTTACTATGACAAATGTTTTAGGAAATTTTGAATGTATAAGCTCATAGCAATAATTGATCAAATATCTTCACAATTTATTTTCTTAAAAAAATATATTTGAAAGTTTATTTCAGATTAAATTTCCCCACACAATGTTTATTGGAGACTACATATATGAAATCCAACAAGAATGAAATTGGTTCGAACAATACTCAAATGAAATTTAAATATGATTTCAACCTTCTTCGAAAACAACAACAACAACATCAAGCCTTTAATCAACTATGTGGGTTGGCTACATGAAACCTTTTTTTCCCATTATGTCATGTTAAGATTCAAATTCTCATTTAAATTTAATAAAAAGATATTTCTAATGTTTTCTAGCCAAATCTTTTTAGGTCAACCTCTACCTTTCTTAATATAGGCCAAATCCAACACATCTATTCTCCTAGCTAGGTTAGAAGAAGGCCAACAGTTTATGTGTCCAAACCATCTAAGGCAGCTCTCTCTAATCTTATCTGCCACTGGAGCTACTCCAACACGTCCACATACATACTCGTTTCGCATTCTATCTATAAAAGTGAAGTCAGTCATCGACCTGAGCATTCTCATCTTTGTATACTTAACTTTACGCTTCTCTTTTAATAGCCAACATTATGTATCATAAAACATTGCAGATCATACCACCATCTTATAGAATTTTCTTTTAAGTTTGAGGGGTATTTTTCTATCACATAACAAGCACTACAGGAAAATCATCCATTACCGACGGCGATTTCTAGTAGTTAACATCAATTTTCCAGTAGTTTTATACTTCATTGGCGGCATAAAAACCGTCGTTATAAGCCGCGTGGGAAATTTTTTAACTTAAAAATGAAGTAAGAAGGGGGCTTTTCTGGCAGTTAAAACCACGAAAAATTTTCACTTAGAAATTGTGGCTAAACCGCCAGTAAAAACCGACATGAAAAGATAAAATTGACATGAAAATATAAAACTGATAGAAATTCTGGCGGTCAATTAACTGCTGGAATTACTGGAAGTCTAATCGCCAGTTAATACCGACTGTCAAACTGCCAGTATTTTCGGCGGTCAAATGACCACCAGAAGTTTCGCTGGTATTCAGTTAATTTCCTGTAGTGAAGCTCGATGCATTCCTCCCCTTCAACCATCCAACTTGAATTCTACTAATATTATCCCAATCTATTTCACCAATGCTTTGAACAACAAATCTAAGATATCTAAGATGTGTAATCTTATTAATGACTTGATAGACCAAAGTCGCAATCCCTCCACTAGATTTATTACTACTAAAATTGCACTCCATGTATTCAGTTTTAGATTTACTCAAGTGGAAACTTTTAGACTCTAAGTTTGACTTCCATAATTCAACTTTTCTTTCAACTCCGACTCTAGTCTTATCATCGAGAAAAATATCATTAGCAAAAATCATACACTATGAAACATCCTCTTGTAAATGTCTTGTAAGAACATCCATGACTAAAAAAAAGTGATATAGGATTAAAGATGATCCTTGATGTAATCCAGCTGAAATAGGAAAATACTTGGCCAAATCACTTTATTTTTTAACAGAAGTAACAACTCCTACATATATATCTTTAATAACTTAAATATAAGCATTATTAACTCCTTTCTTTTCTAGAATCCTGCAGAGGACTTCTCTTGAAACTTTATCATATGTTTTCTCTAAATCAATAAATATCATATGTCGATTATCTTTATTCTCTCTATACTTTTTCATCAAAGCTCTTAATAAATGTATAACTTTTATAGAACACCTATCCGACATGAATCCAAATTGATTTTGAGAAACTTTAGTATCATGTTGTAACCTATGCTCAATAATTATGTCCCATAATTTTAAAGTATGACACATTAATTTAATTCCTCTATAATTCGCACACTTTTGTGCGTCACCTTTATTCTTAAAAATAGGATTAAATACACTTCTTCTCCATTCATCTGACATCTTCTGTCTTTAAAATTAAATTGAAAAATTGTTGTATTTTGCTAAGAAATTCTTTCTTTTCCTAATCATTTCCACACCTCTATTGGTATATCATCAGGTATTTCATTTTCTTTAAAGCCTATATAACTTCAATTTTACTAATACGATGATAAAAACAAAAATATCTATTTTCATTTAGAGTGTTAAGGTTATTAAAGTCAACTATATTGTCATAATCTTCAATGAAAAGTTTATTGAAATATTTCATCCAACTTTGTCCTCTTATAATAAAATTACTTTTTAATCTCCATCCTTAATTCATTTCACTTGAATTAAATTATTACTTTTCCTATCTATTTGTTTGGCTAGCTTATACACACATATTTCAACTTCATTAGTACTTATATATATTGCGAATCTGTTTTCTTGGATTATGATTTTGATGATAGCAAACTTACTTGTTTCTCTACGAATGTCTTGCCTATTGATATTTCAGGTCTACAAGATCAAAGAGCAATTGGAATCAGCTCAAGATTAGGTAGACTAAGTCTGAGTTAGTTTGTACCTTTTTTCTTTCTAGAGTCTTTTGTAATTAGTGTGTCTCCTGATGCTAAATAATCTTGCACACACACACCTTGGAAGAATTTTTTACTGTTCCCTAGAGTTTACTATTTTTGGTAACATCGTCCGGGACGATATTTATATTCATCTGGACGATCGGTTAAAAAACAAAAACCCTAATTAGGGCATCCTGGTTAAGGCATCCGTCATTAAGCACATCATCCTGGACGATTTTGTATTGGCCATGACGATAGGCTCAAAACAGAAAGAATCAGCCGCCAGATTTATTTAGGAATTACTTATTTTTGGACATCGTCCAGGGAATCATCTAGGGAATTGTCCTGGATGATCCAGTACAATTTTGCCTAAATAAATCTAGTATTTAAGGAAAGCAATAAGACTTGATTGCATGATCAAATCGTCCCGGACGAACGCCGTATTGTACTGGACGATGTGCTCAATGATATGGGATGATATGCTCAACAATATGAATAAAGTTCTTCTAATCGTCTCAGATTGTCCCAATTGATTAGGCTTATTTTGCACTAATCGTACATGACGATATTAGTATCGTCTTGGACGATAATGTCGGCAAGTTGCAATTAATGAGCTCGTTTTGAGCTCTTCAATTTAAGCTTTGACAAGACACTTGGTAAGTGTCTTTGGCAGCCATTGTAGCTTCGTTCTTTTGGGGGAAACTTGAAGAGAGAGCTTGAAAGGGAGAGAGGAAAGGGTGGAGTTTGAGAGAGGGAGAAGATCCTTGGAAGGGGACTCAAGAGAGTGTGGAGGGGGATTCCACATGGTTGCTCCGGCGAGCTTGCACCTTAGTACCGTCGGATTCAAGTCTTGTCTTGAGGGAAGTTCACAGAAGAAGAAGATCTCTTTGGTGTTAAAGGACCCGGCTACTCCGCCGCACCGGGGAAGGTGGAAGTGATTTTATAAGTGTTTCTTCGCCTAGCTGTGGGGGCTAAAGGAGAGACACTGAGTTTAGTGGAATACTCGGAGGGCGCCTCCGAGGAGTGGACGTAAGTCGAGTTGATCGAAACACTATAAATCATTATCATTTCCATATTTAATTTCCGCACATTGTGTTTTCTTTGTGGTGAGTTTTAGTTTGATTTGTGCTTTGATTTAAAGATTGTTTTAAGCTACCAATTCACCTCATCTTAATTAGCCTTGGGCTAGTTCATAAGGGCCTAACATCCCTAACGAACTTTCTAGTGCCATCAGAGCACCTTCAAGTGGCTCATAGTGCACTTTCAAGTGGTATCAGTGCGGGATTCATAAATTAAAAAAAAAAATCTGAAGCGAGCACGACTGTGCTCAAGAGATTTGCTGCTCTGTTGCTTGATCAACAAAGGCAGGAGCCAGTGGACGAAGGAATGCAGACTAGGGTTTCAATGCCGTGCATTTCGGCTTCCCGAGATCGATCGCAACCGCAGGTTTGGAGCGCGTGGGAGCCGGTGAGCCAGACAGGGGCGAGAGAGCCGTAGGCGCGGGAGGGCATGGTGAGCTCGCCGATGATGAATGATCGGGTTAGCGATACCGCATAGAACCACTCGGCGTCGTCTCCGTCGTTGCTTCCGTCGGCTGTGGCGGAGACGAGCTTACCACGGAAATGGCCGTCGCCAAAGCTCAGGAGCGTGTGGTCAGGGGAGACCCGCCAGAAAATGGCGTAAGTCCACCATTCAGAGCGGGAGTGCAGCAAGCACTGGAGGATGTACTGAAGACCCAAAGTTGGGAGAGCTTCCAGCGAATTTCCCGGCGAGATCGTAAGGGGTTGGGGTTGGATGGAGTAGAAGGGGGGAGGTGTAGGAGAGGAAGATGACGAAGGGGAGATCAGTTCCTCCATTTGAAAGGGATTGGAAGGGGATTTTGGGTTCGCTCGGCAATGACGACTGTGCTCACGGTGGATAGGAAGGAAATAATCTCACGTGAAGCCATGTCAAGGGAGAGCTCGAGGAGGATGACGGTGGCAGTCGCGGGGATTTTCGTCATTTTTTTTCGGAAAGCAGCGGACCGCGGGAGAGAGTGTAAGGTCGCGGGAAGCAATTACACGCCGCGAATTTTTTCTGCCGCTGTTCTGCCGCGACGCCCAAACAACAATTTTATAACTTTTTATAAAGTAAAGCAAGAGTGCCGCCGTCCCAAACGAGCCCTTAAAAAGCTACTTTCTCTATAGCAGCTTTACGAAAGAAAAATCTCCTAAATGAAATCTTAGTTTATAAACGTCGTCATTTGGTTGAATTTAATTTAAAAAAAAAATCATATTACGTCTTCAAAAGAATTTAAAATTTCTTAAAAAATAAGGAAATTTCATACTTAAAAAAAAGAAAAAAAGAAAAAAAAACAAGATCAGCCCTTTATGTAATTGATTTTAGTCAACAAACAACCAATGAGCTCTAATAGAGAAAAATTTTAAATAGAAAAAGAAAAGTAAACTATGACAAATTTTTTAGGAAATTTTGAATGTATATATGCTCATAGCAATATTGATCAAATATATTAACAATTTATTTTCTTAAGAGAATATATTCTAAAGTTTAATTCAGATTAAATTTTCCCACAATGTTTATTGGATACTACATATATGAAATCCTACCAGAATGAAATTGGTTCGAACAATATTCAAATGAAGTTTAAATATGATTTCAACCTTCTTCGAAAACAACAACAACAACATGAAGCCTTTATTCAACTATGTGGGCCGGCTACGTACATAATCCTTTTTTTTCCATTAAGTCCTGTTAAGATTAAAAAATTCTCATTTAATTTAAAAAAAAAGCATTTCTAATTTTTTCAGCCAAATCTTTTTAGGTCAACCTCTACCTTTCTTAACATAGGCTAAATCAAACACATTTAGTCTCCTAGCTAGGTCAGAAGATGGCCACCATTTTACATGTCCAAACCATCTAAAGCAACTCTCTCTAATCTTATCGGTCACTGGAGCTACTACAAACCCTTTCACGTGCATACTTGTTTCGCATTCTATATCTAAAAGTGAAGCCACTCATCGACCTGAGCATTCTCATCATTGTACACTTAGCTTTATGCTTCTCTTTTAACGACCAACATTCTGTATCATAAAACCTTGTAGGTCTTACCACCATCTTATAGAATTTTCCTTTAAATTTGAGTGGTACTTTTCTATCACATAACAAGCACTACAAGAAAATCATTCATTAACGACAACGATTTCCAATAGTTAACATCAATTTTCCAGCAGTTTTACACTTCATTGACGGCATAAAAACCACCGTTATAAGCAGCGTGGGAAATTTTTCACTTAAAAACGAAGTAAGAAGAGGGGGGTCATTTTTAGACGGCTTTTCTGGTAGGTTAAACCATCGAAAATTTTCACTTAAAAAGGCGTCTAAACCACCAGTAAAAACCGACATGAAAAGATAAATCGACATAAATTCTGGCGGTCAATTGACCCCTGGAATTACCGACGGTCTAATAGCCGATTAATACCGGCTGTCAGACCGCCAATAATTTCAGCGGTCAAATGACCGCCGGAAGTTTCGCCGGTATTCAGTTAATTTCCTGTAGGGAAACCCGATGCATTCCTCAGTTCAACCACCCAACTTAAATTCTACTAATATTATCCCAATCTATTTCACCAATGCTTTGAACAACAAATCCAAGATATCTAAGATGTGTAATCTTATTAATAACTTGATAGACCAAAGTCACAATCCCCCCACTAGATTTATTAATACTAAAATTACACTCCATGTATTCAGTTTTAGATTTACTCAAATGGAAACTTTTAGACTCTAAGTTTGACATCCATAATTCAACTTTTCTTTCAACTCCGACTCTAGTCTTATCAACAAGGAAAATATCATTAGCAAAAATCATATACTAGGAAACATTCTCTTGTAAATGTCTTGTAAGAACATCCATGACTAAAACAAAGTGATATAGGATTAAAGATGATCCTTGATGTAATTCAACTGAAATAGAAAAATACTTGCACTACAAGAAAATCACCCAAAACCGGCGATTTTTTCCGGCGGCTTTGATGGTAAAACGGCGGTTTTTAAAACCACCGGCGGCTTTTTGGCGGTTCTCAAACCGCCGGAAAAATTGGCGTATTGATGTCCGGCGGTTACATGACCGCCGCTATTACCGATAGCCTAAACTTAAAAAACCCTCGGTTATGCCGCCGGTAATAGCCGGCGGCAAAACCGCCGTTGTTACCGGCGGCCATATAACCGCCGGTCAAGGGCCGTCAGTATTGGGTGTTTTTCCTGTAGTGTTGGCCAAACCACTTTATTTTTTAACAGAAGTAACAACTCCTACATATATATCTTTAATAACTTAAATATAAGCATTATTAACTCATTTCTTTTCTAGAATTCTCCAAAGGACTTCTCTTGAAACTTTATCATAGGTGTTCTCTAAATTAATAAATATCATATGTAGATCATCTTTATTCTCTCTATACTTTTTCATCAAAGTTCTTAATAAATGTATAACTTCTATAGTAGACCTATCCAACATGAATCCAAATTGATTTTGAGGAACTTTAGTATCACGTTGTAACCTATGCTCAATAATTATGTCCCATAATTTTAAAGTATGGCACATTAACTTAATTCCTCTATAATTTGCACACTTTTGTGCATCACCTTTATTCTTAAAAATTGGAATCGACATACTTCTTCTCCATTCATCTGACATCTTCTGTCTTTAAAATTAAATTGAAAAAAATTTATAAGCTGCTAAGAAATTCCTTCTTTTCCTAAGCATTTCCACACCTCTATTGGTATATCATCAAGTACAATAATTTTTCCACACTTCAATTTCTTTAAAGCCTATATAACTACAATTTTACCAATACGATGATAAAAACAAAAATTCTCTATTTTCATTTAGAGTGTTAAGGTTATTAAAGTCAATTGTATTGCATAGTCTTCATTGAAAAGTTTATCGAAATATTTCATTCACCTTTGTCCTCTTCTAATAAAATCACTTTTAATCTTCATGCTTATTGCATTACAATTGAATTAAATTATTACTTTTTCTATATCTTTGTTTGGTTAGCTTATACACACATATTTCGCCCTCATTAGTGCAGATATATTATATAAATCATTAAAAATTAATTTTTTTTTACATCGTATATTACTTTCTTAGATTCTTTACGTTTCTCTTTATATTTTTTCAAATTTTTCAAACTTTTACATTCAAATCAATTTTTATAACAAACCTTTTTATTTTTTATGCACATTTTGATTCCATCAACAATTATTTTATTATTAAAGGCTGTTCCTTTTGTATCAACGAAGCACATTCTTTGCAATATTCCTAATATTACTAGCTATTTTTCCATGTAACATTAATTTTCTCATGCACAATCAAAATATTAAGACCTTGAATCTTACTATTAAAAATATTTTTTCTTATTATTCTTTAAATGCCACATGATACTAGGATAACATTTTACTTTATTTTTTATATTTTGTCTCTTCATTTTAAAATCTAAAACTAATAAGTGATATTGGGTATATAAGTTTTTACTTAAAATAGCATTACAATCTTTGCAATATAAACCATTTATTTTTATAATAAGAAAATAATCAATCTGAATTTGACTATATATATTCTTATAAGTGATGAGAAGTTCCTCTATTTTTTTAAATAAAGTATTAGTTATCACAAAATCATAAGCTAGAGCAAAATTTAACATGGTCACACTAACTTCATTGGTTGCTCCAAATTCATAGCCATCATGAATATTTTTAAAATCTTCTACCACTCTATCAATATGTCTATTTAATCCTATAATAAAACTCTTTCTTTAAGAGATATATTTTGTATTAATTCTTCTAAGTAAAACTAAAATTTTAATTTTGAGCACATATCTTAATTTAATTGAGGAGCATTGCACTTATAATGTTAATACTCTTAGCATCAATAACAATCTTTAAAGTCATAATTTTATCTCTAATTCTATTAGTTTTTATAATATTATCTTTTAAACTCTTACTTATAATAATATATACATCATTTATAGTATGACTCATACCATAATATCATAGTTAAATCCTAAACTATCAATCTCCTTATCCTTCTCTCCAACCTATTAAGTTTTCTGAAAGCATAAAATAGTTATTTTTCTATGAATCATAATTTTTATTAATTTCATTAATTTGTTTGTAAGAGAACTTAATTTCAAGTTCTTATCCTAATTTTAGTTTCATGAATTAATTTCTTTGCCCATATCCATCCATGATATGGTAACCATTTTTTATTTAACATTACACCCGAGTACTGGTGTAGTGACTCTTACATGCTTATCATTATATTTAGGTCATATAACACGTCATTTACAGGGAACACCCTAGCATTAACACAATATATTAAATGATTCATGTCATAATTATTTGACAAATTTTATGTTGGCTATGGGCTGTCTAATGTAACCCTCCACCATTCTCATTCATGGCTTAGGACTACATATCTGAATAAGGTTCAAAATTAATTTCAAATTAAATTGCTTACACTTTGTTTATTGGGGAACAAATATCTCGAATCCAATATAACAAAATTGGTTCAAATAATATTCAAATAAAGTTTCTATATAATTTGACCATATTCATTCAAGGTTTGAACCTTGTTCGAATAAGTTTAAAACAGAGTTTGAAGAAGGTTGAAATATATTTCAAATAAGATTTGAATATGGTTAGAACAAGATTCTAATAATATGGTTTGAACAAGATACAAATATAGTTAGAATTTTGTTTTTTTTAATGTGGTTAGAACACCTTATGAGCCATGTTCTATTAGGGTTTACCTTGCTTGTATTTAATAGAGTATAATTCAATAGCTTCAACACAATGTACTACAAGGCTGATATATTATAGTTCAATCACAACTATTATAACTTTAGTGAGTATAAAGCTCATATAACACTGTGGAATACAATAGCAATAACATAAAATATTGTAATACAACAACTATAACATGCTAGAGAGCAATCCAATAATTACAACATAATAGAGTTCAATCCAACATTTATATTATGGTAAAGAAGAATATAACATTTATGATACATAAAAGTGCAATTCAATATCCATAATTAATTTGAATATATATAATAATCTAAGATTTTTACAATCGATTGTCATATATAAATGAATAAATAAATAAATAACATTTCTAGAATAATTCAATCATTTCTAAATAAACATATGCTACATTATCTTGAAAGAAGTCTACATATGCGGTCTCTAAAAAATTGTATACAATCGAGTATAACTTAATTCCCAAAAAAAATTATTTATAGTAAGCTATATTATGTGTTGTATCGTATACAAACTCACTATTTCCTGCATGATTTGTGCTGGAGTAAAAGAGAGGTTAGAGTACTATAACATTATAATTTGTGTAGGCAATGAGATAACATATATCATTCAATATAATTTGCTATAATTCATTGGAAAATATATGAATTCTGCATCAACACAGGATTTTATGAACTTCTCTACAATTACAAACAGCAGGGCTTCTTTGCCAATTAAAGGAGTCCTTCCTCTTTAACTTGTACATATGTAGTGTGTTTCACAATAGTGTATCAAATCTTTCTTTAGAACTCTCAATGTCCTCCGTTCAAAATAAATTAAACAACTCTAAATGTTAGATTCTTACCTCAAATGTTGAATACTATAAAATATCTCTTATTCTCATCATTATCAACTATCCTCAGTACTAGGTGATGAACTAGGGCCCTGGAGAATTACGATCAAAGAGATTTAATAAGTTGACTAAAGGAGGGAGCTCGTGGATAGGGGTGTCAATAATTGACACGACATGAAAACTTGACTCGAACCCGACCAGGAAATTTCAGGTCTGACACGACCCGATTTCAAAACGGGTCGGGTTCGGGTTCATTAAAATGACCCGGTTCAAATTTTGGGTCGGTTCGGGTTAACCTGATAGAGTACCCGTTTCGACCCGCGCTGTATTCATTTAGGCGCGATGGATTAATTAGGGGTTAGGGCTCCACAGGACCGCATTTTGCTTGCGCGCTTATTTATTTCACGTCCGGTTCATCCTCTCCTCTTCTTTGCTGCTTCGTTTAGTTTTCGTTCTTCTCTTCGGATCTTCTCACTCTGTCGACGGTTTCCTCTCTTCTCCTTCTCTGGCACATTGTTGGTACGTGGTGTTCATCGTGCACATCTCATTTGGCTCAACACGAATATCTACATCGCTCGCTATTTGTATCTCTTATCTTTTTTCTATTTTCTCTTTTTAGAAGCTTGATCTATGAGCACAATAGAGGGTTGGCTTGTTGTCTTGCTGTTTGATCAAATTATTCTGAAGTTATGTGAAAAGATTTTGGGTTTAGCCGTTTAGGGTTTGTACGATTTATTGTTGCCTTGCTGACTTGCTATTATGTCAAATATTATTTCAGTTTTTTTTGAAAATTTGGTAAAGTTTGGCATGCATTTGTGGATTGGCATGCTTTAGGTTTTGGGGTTATTTTTGGCCGAAAAGTTGAGGAGGTGATGTTCAGTTAAATCTGGTTTCAAAGGGGTTTTTTATTCAGTTTGTGTTGGTTTTCCTGTTCAGTCCTTACTGGTTTTTAATCAATCGCAGTAGGTGTGCAAACGAGCCAAGTCGAGCTCGACGTGCTGGTTTTTCTGTTTAGTTTCTATTGGTTTTTCTGTTCAGTTAATGCTGTTATGCTGTTGTTGTTGAACATCTGGTTTTGGAGCGATTTTTTTATATTCAAAGGATATGTTATGTTGTCATATTTGTATTTGACAGTTATGTTGTTATTCTTAGTTGCTGGAGAAGTCATTTTTTGGCATTTGCGGAAGAATTTAATGAGTTAAAGTCTCAATGTGTTATGTCTATTTTTTAAAGAAGAAAATTAACAAAGAGGTTAGAATTAGTACTGTAAATTTGTAATATATTTTAATGTTTTGGTTAGATGGAGGATTCCAACATCATTCCTAAGAATTTATCTATTGATGAAAATGAAGAAGTCCAGATTTGTAAAAATGTTGTAGAGCCATCTAACGAGCTATGTAATGAGCGGATAGTTACTAAGAAACGATGAAGGATGACCTCATTTGTTTGGGGCCATTATGAGATGTTATCTAATACGAAAGATGGAAAATAAAAATGTAAATGCAAGAAATGTGGAAGTACTTACCTATGTGATAGAAAAAAATGGAACTAGTAATCTTAGACGCCACCTCGAAAATTGTAAGAAAAGAAGTATGCATGATATAGGACAGTTGATCTTATAAAGCAACACTAAATCTTCAATGTCTATGTCTGATAACAAGTTTGATCATGCTGAATTTTGTGACTTGTTTACTGCTTCTATCATAATGCACGATTTGCCATTTCAATGTGTGGATTGGGATTTGTGTCATTTGTGTCATCATCTAATCAAACAGATACTACGTATAACTCTAAAATACAAAATGCTGCCTTGGATGACAATATTGGAACTGTATTATTGACTCACATTTCATTATTTGATGAATTTTTTTAAGGGTTAATCTGAGCTAATGACTTAATCTTTCAATTAATTCATGGATTTATATTTGTATCACTTTTACCATTTATATTTTTTTGCAGGTAGCGTAAATCTCCATGAGGGCATGCAAATGACTTTTGGTCTCTAGAGCTCGAAGTTATTCAAATAGTCAAATTTATATTTGTAACTTGTAATTTTGAACTTTTTGATTTTTAATCTGTGAATTTATGTTTGTAATTTGCAATGTGGTATGTAATTTATTTGTTCATTTCAGAATTGTGTAATTATATTTTATAATTTATAAGTTAATAAATTGCTATCTTTTTTTGGAAAAATAGATTAATGTCTTGGTTTGTATTATTTGATGTCTTGGTGGATTGGTTTACCTGTGCTCCTATCTTGGTTGCATACTTACATCATAGTGGTAACTAGTTTGGTTTCCAGGCTTCCAGCTACTGGCTGTATATTAATTGGTTGCCCGTTATTTTACTTATTTACTTGTAAAAGGGTCGGCGGGTCAATCCGGGTTGACCCGAACCCGGCACGAGTCGGGTTCGGGTCCTAAATATTGACCCGTTTCTCTAAACGGGTCGGGTTCGGGTTGATCTGTTTAGGTTTGGGTCAAATCGGGTTCGACCCGAACATGACCCTTGACCCGATTTTGACACCCCTACTCGTGGATACTTAACTTCAAATTGTCTAACTATTTTATTCGTTACACCTCCAACTCTATATGTGACTGGAGTAATACAATGCCTCTCTAGAAGTATGATTAAAATAGACATCAAAATACATAGTAAACAACAACAAAAAATCAATTCTATAAAAGATTATGAGAACAAAACAAAACAATTGACCCATTCATGAACCATGTTCAAACTACGGTCGAAAAATGATCAAACCATATTCCAAAAAGATTCGAACCATGATGGAATCATGTTCTAACCATATTCAAACCATATTAGAACCGTGATCGAACCATATATGAACCATGATTGAATTATATACAAACATGCTCGAACATCGCTCAACTTCAACCATGTTCAAATCCTGATCGAATCTTATTTCAATCATATTTGAGACTTGCTCAAATCATGTTTACATAAGTTCCAATCTTCTTCAAACCTTATTAAAAGCCTTTTTGAAAGTTCTAACAAAATTCAAAAAAGATTTGAAGATAAATGTTCGAATATATTTATAGTAGGCAACGTGATGTCTAATGTCGTTATTGGTTTAAGGTTTTGAGTGATAACTAGAAAATAGAGATTGTTGGCATGAAGCTTGTTGTAGCCCAATCATATGCACCCTGAGATTGTTGGAGATGGAGAAAGTGATGGAAAGAGAAATAATCGAGTGGCTCCTTGTTAAAATTTAATTCAAAATAATTTTTAGACATATTTCTCTAAGAAAATAAATAACGAGCATATCTGACCAACAATGACTATTTGAGCCATTTAAAGTAAAATTTCTTTTTTTTTTTCTTAAGGGCTTAAATGGTTTCTTGAAATTAAAAAATATATTTATTAAATTTCATCATTTTTGCTGATTTGAAAATTAATATATACTTTAAACTCTACAAATATTTGATTTTTTTTTTAAAATAATGATTTTATTTGCACACATAAAATAAATAAACATAAATAATCACTTTTAAAATAAAATTTTAACCATGCACACAACCTAAAGAGCATTTATTTTAATAGCAAAAAAAAAAAAAGAGAGAAACTATACTCATTTTTTTAATTAATTTCTAACTAATTTAGGATATATACCTTTACAATCACTTAATTAAATTATAATCTAATCAACATAATATTCTAGTTAATAATTAATAATAATTCATACTAATTAGTATATTAATTAATATTCGATATTTATAATTTAAAATTTTTTAAATATACTGATTTTAATTTTATGCACAAAATGAATAAAATTAAATAATTAATTTGTAAAACATGTTTTAAATCTGAGACGAAGAAGAAGAAGAAGAAGAGAGGAATTACAGGCCATATCGATCGCATCGGTGTTGAATCGCGTATACTTCTTTCCATGATTTGGAATGGTGAGAGGAGAAAAAGTCGGCTAGATCTGCTCCCCATCTGAGCGTGAAGAGCTTCAGCCATATGGCATCATCGGACGCGGCTTTCTTCCACTTCCTGCAAACTAATTTGGGTTTTATTTTTAGGGTTTCTGCTCTGATTCGAAGGGAGAACAGTTCAGGCATCAATTACAGGGCAGCGTGAAGGAGAGATAGAAGGAGAGAGAGAGGAGAGATAAGACCTTGGAGAGCGGTGGCGAGAGTGGGATGGTCTAAGAATCCGAAGATGTTGAGGCATAATTCAATGGGGAGCGCTTCCATTCTCAAATAAATTGTGATAAACTCTGAAAATTGAAATGATCTCTTCAGTTAAATAGGACGGGAAGAGAGGTTTGATTGTTGAATGGAGATTCAGATCCAAAATTGCGGATCGATCGGGGGCGCTGTTGGTTGGATAATATTTTATGGAATTTCTGTCATCTTTTTTTTTTTTTGGGAATATCTGTCATCTTTTTTATAATAGGATATTAATATTATTACGTATGAATGATATTAATTAATTTTTATATTAAATATATATTAGGAGGATGTTTATTTTATAAATAACTAAAATTTAAGTTTTATATATGCAATTGCTCTTATATTTATCCTTATTTAAAAGAAATACTCATACGTTGATAAAATATTGAGCATAAAATTCAGGAGAAAATTAAACCTCTAATTTTTTTTTTTTAACTTTAAGATTAATAGATCATTTGAATTAAACCTCTAAATCTAAATCATCAAGCTATCACTAATTAGGTTAAATCTAAATCATAAAGCTATCGCTAATGACTTTTGGTTACGAAGAATAAAATATAATGCTAAAAAGTCTACTAAACTTGTAGTTGAAACAAATTTTTTGGGGGGGCTAGTAACGCTGAAGGTGCTATTCTTTGGGCCTCTTGGAATAAATGCTGGGGTAGTTTGGAGGAAGGGGGCCTGGGTTGTAAGAATTTGGTGGACATGAGTAAAATTTTTTCTTATAAACTTTGGTTTAACTTTAGATCTAATAAGAGTTTATGGGCTAATTTTTTACATAGCAAGTATTGTGGTATTTAGCATCCCATGGTGTGCAGCCCTAAAAAGGGTGACTCCTCCATTTGGAAGAGGCTTTGTAGCATCAATTGGGATATGGAGGGATTCATTCAATGGGGTCTTGGTAATGGTGATGTGTTTTTCTGGCAAGATCAATGGATTGACAATTATTCTACTGACAATTTGCTTAACACTAGATCTATTTCTACTCTATTAGTTAAAAATTTCTTTATTAATGGGGATTGGAATATTGAGTTATTGAAGGAGACTGTGCCTGATTTTATTATTATTATCATTATTAATATTCCTTTACAAAGTGATAAAGAGGATTGCATTCTTTTTACTAAGTCCCATGATGGTAATTTTGCTTTGAGAAGCTTGGCATTCTATTAAAGAGAATAGACATCATAATCCTTTTTTCAGCTATTTGGCATAACTTAATACCCATTTCTTTAGCTATTCTTACTTGGAGAGTGATTTACAACTATATGCCTGTTGATAATATTATCAAGAAAAAAGGTTTTCAAATTGTCTCTAAATGTTATTGTTGCCACCGTATTGAAACTCTTAACCATGTCTTGGCCAATGGACCAATTGCGGTTAGAGTTTGGATTCATTTTGAAGAGCTTTTTAATTTCAATTTTATTCATGGTTTCAAGAGCATTATTGACATTTTGAAATATTTGTTTGTTAATTCTAAAGGTCATATTAGGAATAGCCTTACCACTACCATTATTTGGTTCCTTTGGAAGAGTAGGACTGAAGCTAAACATGAAGGGATCAAAATGAATGTTTCTCGTATCATCAGTAGTATTTGTGATAAAATCAGATTGCTTTATGTTACCAATCTCATTAAATTTGATAATTTCAAAGGGTGTTACAAGGTTGCTCCTCACTTTGGAAATTTTAACATTTCGGCTTACAAAGTTAGAAAGGATAGGATCATTAGTTGGCTCGAACCGGGTATTGATTGGGTCAAGCTTAACATTGATGGTTCTTATAATGGGAAGGTGGCTGTTGTGGTGGTATTTTGAGAAGTTATTATGACAAGGTGACTAAATGTTATGCTGGCCCTGTTTCTGGGAATTTTGCTTTTTTGGCTGAGTTGCATGGTCTTATCTATGGCATCAATATGTGTATTAAGTTAGGAATTAACAAGGTTTGGATTGAGGTTGATGCTATGCTTATTTTACACTATATTAAACTACAGGAAAAATGTCCAATACCGGTGGTTCTAACCGGCGGTTTATGGACCGCCAATTTTACCGGCGGCATAGCCGGCGATCTGGCCGTCGGCTTTTAACGACGGCCGAACCGGTGATTTTGCTACGTTAAGCCTCCGGTAATAGCGGCGGTCTCTAAACCGACGATAAACCGCCGGACATCAATATGAACCGGCAGTTTACTGGCGGTTTGGACCGCCGTTGATAAGTGACTTTTTACCGGTGGTCCGGACCGCCGGAAAACCGCCGGTAGAAGCCCTAATACGACCAACCCCGCGCCTGGCATTTCATTTTTACTCTTTCCTTCTCTCTCTCGGTCGCTCGCTCTGCCGGCGGTATAAGCCGCCGGAAAACCGCAACCAAAATAAACCGCTAGTAAAAAAACCGCCGGTACAAGTTTCCTACTTGATTTTTTTCGGCGGTCAAAAAATCGCCGTAAAGCCGTCGGTAGGCAAAAAACCGCCGGTTAATATAGAGTAACCACCGAAAAAAACCGTCGGATTTCAACATTTTTCCTGTAGTGTTAACAGCTCTCATTTATTTAATGCTGAGAATTTTTATCTGGTTAGACAGATTAAGCATGGTCTATCCTACATTAATTTTAAAATCTCCCATATTTACCGTGAGGGTAATGGGTGTGCTGATGCTCTTGCAAATTGGGTTATAACAATCCTTTGTTCTATGAATTTAATGATAATGAAATTCCTTATGCTGTTAAAGGGTTGGTTAATCTGGATTGTGGTGGTTTACCCTATATTAGACACCATTAATCTGTGCTTTGCTATTCTGGTTTCTATCCTTTCTATGATGGGTGGGATTTTCATTGTGAGGGGTTGCTTGGTAGAGTTTATGGCAGTGAAGACGGTTTTTAGTATCCTTTTTTACTTTATTGTTTACATGCAAAGTCTTTATTGCTTTGCTGATAGTAATTACTGGAATTTAAGGTATTTTTATTTCATTATTTTGTTATGGTGGAAGCAGAATTGGCTTATGTTTAGCGGTAAGTTGGTCCATTCTATCCTCTGCTGTATGGATATGTTTATCATGGGTCACTATATTTTGTTTGTTTGGTTTGTTGGGAATGAGTATGGGAGAAGCTGGATGATGGGGTTGTTGGATATAAATCAGTGCTTTATTTTAAATTGAAATCCCAGGGCTGTTAACAGATGGTGTCTTTGGTTTTGGCCCTTCCATCTTATCAATCCTAATGTTTTGGCTCGCCAGGAGGGGTTTGACATGTCCAGTTGGTTTTTAATGATATGTTTTTTACTTAATTATCCCTTGCATTATGTGTGTCAAATTACTCTTTTGGGTTGGAGGTTTTATTTTTTGCAAGTGGGCTAAATTTGGGTTCCAAGATTTTGGAAGGAAGCAAGTGAGTTCAAAAGTCCAGAGATATTGGAGGTTTGCCAATTCTTTTTGCAGGAGTTTTGTGCTTATTGCTAATATTTTGCAATTCCTTTTTTGGGTGCTATTGACTTGCAGTCCTAGAATGTTCTTAGGTTTTTTTATAATCTTTAGTATTAGGAACCACCGGCTTCTAGGGTTTTTTTTATATTTATATTATAGCTCTTTTGAGCAATAGCAAGCTGGAGGTTCCTATTAAGGACATTGTAACATTTTTTATTATATTAACGCGTAGGCTCCTTAGTGGGTTTTAACTAAAAAAAAGGAAAAAGAAAAAAGAGAGAGTTTAATTAATTCGCTCTACTAGTCCCCTTCTTGAACCTAAAATAAAACAAACCATAACAATGAACTTATAAAGCTCAGCAGGTCACCCAGACCTACCAAAGTAATTAACGCATGGCAATGAAATCAATATGCAATGAAAAGTTCAATCAACATCATTTAACTCATCATCAATATAAGTCAATATGATCGATAAACAATGTAAATACATGAATCATAAATCATTGAAATCTATAAAAAATGTGTGTAAGCTTTCGTGCTATATTTAATTATTCTATATTATCATTTTATTAGGTTTATGAATCTTAAATGTTCATGTGGTATAACCATCTATAAGGCTGTCATATGAATGATGTTAGTATATAAGATCTATGGAATATGTATATTTAAATATATTAGTAAGCTATGAATTGAATCAATTATTCATCTTATATGTTTTTTTATCAGTTCTTTATCCATCATTTCAAGTATGAGTCATATATATCTATATGTACATGTTATTAATGCATGCATTAGCATCATATGGTTTGGCAAGGCATGACCTTCAACTTTTATGCCGAACTTTTAATATCCTTAACTCAAACTGTCCACCAGTTGGTCATATGTATTTAATTTACCGTCTTCATTCATAAATCTTTAATTAGTTCATAAGTGCCTTCTAGTAAATCATTAAGAGTTGTCTTTCATTATCCATCGACATAATTCAGTCAATAAATTATAGGCTACAACCACGATTAAATTATAATATTTTAAGGAAAGCTCATCAGCCAACCCTCCTATACAGTATATTATATTTTAATAGTCAACCCACATCAATTATAATATTTTAAGTTAGCCTTCATTGCTCACATACAACTGTCACATTCATCATGTAACAAAAATATTACAATTTGTATATAATTCAGCAATCATATATGAAATGCATAGTAGCTACTATGAAGAGCATGCTAACCTATATAATTCAATAAACACATCAAAATATTCAAAATATTAAATTTGCTTGGTGAAATCATATATATATATATATATCAAAAGTGATGTGATAAAAGTTTTTTAAATTAGGAGAAAAATGTTATTTTATTAATTGGAGAGATAAAATCCAAGAAATGGAATTATTGAAAACTGAGGTAAGAATCGGGATACCAACCATGATTTAAAGAAATTTCATAACTGCTCTCGTGGAAGAAAATGGCTCGAACAATTTTCTCTCTCTTATCTCTCTCCTCCTCCCACTTCCTCTTTTCTTCCTTCCTTGACAATGCAAATGAAATGAGGAAGATGGCTAGAGGTAAGAGTTAATGAAATTGATTAAGATATTTAATTATTTTAAAAATCACTAATCAAACCTAGCATCATAACTCTCAATTTCCCAGTGCCACTATGATCTCCACCTTGGATCGGCACTGCGATAAAATTTCCTAGCTCCAAAAGTCCCCAAAGCCTTTTATTTTGTCTAAAA